ATATATATATATACAGTAATATATAATGTATATTATGTATATTCATATATTATATTTATAGTTGATTTTAGCCGATAAATGCTGTATTATATCGTTTCTTTATTTTTATTTTTCTAGAATCCACAAATTGCCGCTTTATATTTATACTCTTATATTGTGTGTAAAAAATTTCAAGTTGATATCGCGTGAGTTGTAATGTAAACCAAAAAGATATCTCAAGAAAATCAGTGAAATAAGACAAGTATCAGCATGAGAAGAACCATAAAAATAATTGACTTTAGAAAAAAAATCGACTGAAAATATGCTAATTTATATCGCACAAATTTTATGTTTTGTTGTAAATGATATGACATGAGCTACAAAGATTAATTAATATTTGATATATGTAAGTTGTGTAATATTTTTTTGACTGCATAGAAAGAACATATTGAATATATACAGATAGTACTAACATAATGGAAGAATTAATGAAAATCGGTATTATAAGCATTGTTCTCTATGATCTCAGGCACCCACGCACACTTGTGTGGCTACTTGCTTTTACATATAAATCAGGTACTCGCTTTAAATTTGTTTTAATTGATTATGCAAAGCATAACTTTTCGCAAAAGTTGCATTATTATTAGCAGAATCCGCATCAATTCCGAGAAGGAAATATAAATAATTAAATTAACATCAATCAAAAAAATATTGGTTATTCTTACTTTCGTAAATATTTCTTTAATAAAAAACGTAACAGCTAATTTTCTTTATAAACACTGAAAATGTAGATTACAACATAATATACTGATAACAATTCCAACTTCCGGTGGAGAGTAGCTATATTCTGTTGTACCAACATTGAAATTATCACTATTCAGTAATTATGTGTAAGATATTGTACAAATTATTCCATACTTTTTGGACAGTGTGCTCACGGTATTATTATTATTATTATTTATTATTATTATTATTATTACATTACACTTTGCAAAAATACAATTTACTATAATAACAAAACCTGCTTATTTTACACTAGCGCTACAGTGTCCAAAAGTATAGGTCAAGTATTACAATGCAGCTATTATATATATATATATATATATATGTATATATATATAGTGACAATGTACACTCTCTCACGCACTTAATGCCATTCAAGCACTCCACCATATAATAATGTCTATATGGCCACACACAACATTTCCCTCTCTCTTATCACGAAAAGACTATAAAGACTAATCGCGAGGCATGTGCTCATACACATTGCTCTTTTCATTGATGCGATTTTGTGTTGAAAAATAAAGAACAATCTATTATATTACAGTTAAAAAATGTATATTACATTTAAAAAATGTTCAGTCATTTACAATCCGGAAGCTTAGTATCGACATATTGAAACAATCTAACCTTGAATGTACACGGAATCCCAGGCCAACTCCCAATGAATTTCATTACAGTGCACCATTTACAGTGTACTATATGTGAAATGCTGTACATTGCAACGTAAAATAACGTCACACGATCCATCGAGGCCAGCTCATACAAGACCATGTATGTAGTGCGCCAGATTTCGGGCGGGTCACTAAAGTTCCTGCCCTTCACAGTGCATCACTTCAAGTACGATTTATACAGTGTTGTGCTTCTACATGTTTCTTTTTCCTGTTCGAGAAGGAATAACAAATCTCTAAAGTTCACTCTCTTCAGGCGTGGTCTCATTGGCATTTGTCTGTTAAATCCACTTGCTGACGCGTTTGCACCAGGAGTACTCCCTGGACTATTAGCTGATCCTGCTGTATCGAGTCTGGGCTTTTTCCGAGGACCAATTGCTTGTAAAGCTGTCACATTTGCTTCTCTTTGTCTTAATTCTTCCATCTCGGCACGTTGCATCTAAAACACATTGTTTATTTTAAATAAATTGTAATTAGGAAAACATTAAAATTCGTTTAAATTATTTGTAACGTATAAAATAGTTTATTACACAAAACATTGGAGAAAATTATAAATTATATACCTCTTTGGCCTTAGCCTTCAATTTGGCTTGTTCTGGATCTTCCGTTTTTGCACGACTTTTTGCGGCACGTAAAAGCAGTTCTCGTTCTTGCTCTTCGTGTCTCTTACGTTCCGCTCTATCTAGATCTTCCAAAAATTTTAATTGCGCTCTTACGTCATGTGTTACTTCATACCTTGGATCAACCTATAAGTAAAAGAAATTAGAATATTAGAAAAAATAAATATAAAATGTCTACATTATAAAGAAGATAATTTCAAATTTAATGAATATAATATGCGACTTATAAATTAATAAAAGTTAAAAAATTGAAATACACAAGATATTCTTCTAAAATTTTACCTTTATAAAATCTATTCTATGTTCCGCGATGACTGCTAATTTTTCTACTAAATTCTTTAACCTTTCTTGAACAGCGTGTGAAATTAGCGCTGCCACTTCTTGGTTGGGCTCTTCCAGTTCATGTCTGGATGCTGAAACAATATATCGCTGTTATTTAGAACTGCACATACATATTATTTTACATGAATTTATTTCTAAAAGGAAAAATAAAATTACCAATTTGTTTAATTCTCTGTTGTAATGGTGTCATGTGCAAAAATACTTCATCTTTACAGGATCGTATTTGGGTACCGACAAATTCTGTAGAACCGAGTATTCTTTGAGATTCTTCTGCAAGATTAACACCACCCATAGCTGCTACATCATTTATGTCGTCATCCGCCCTGTACATAGCAAATACAATTATTACATATTGATAATAATTACGATATTTTAAATTAAAGTTTTATCGTCGCTCATTCATGTAGTTAACGATTCATTCTTAATAATAACTGTTTCAATTATTCTTAAAAACTAAAACTTACGTATATCCTGCTGATGAAAATGTCTTCTTTTCTTTCTCTTTTGCAGCCGGTTTTTGGACAAGAGAAGGCACTACGGCTTTATTAACAGTAGTGGTTGTATTGACTGTTTTAGCTTGCGTAGTAGTCGGGACTGTTTTTACAACCGTCGTTGTGACTATAGGTGGTTTTTGCACAACAGGAGCAGTGGGGCGAATTCCAGTTACCGCTACTGTCGATTTTACAGTATATGCTGTGGTAGGGCTACGAACCACCGTCGTTACTGGTCGCACCTAAACCGATATAATTTTTATTGTACATTTGCAATGAAAGATTGTAAGATCATTACATAAATTTCAAAAATTGTTCAATATACATCATTAAAGTAAATAATTCTACTATGTGGTTTAATTATAATTTTATATTTAATTATGTAATACATTTTAAATATTAAATAAAAATTCATATAATACAGATATACTTGAAAGTAATTTCCTGATATAATAATAGTATATAAATATTAAAATATAAATAGGTATGGTATGTATATAGCATGCAGGTTATAAAGCATGCATTAAGTTTTTAAAAAGTAATTATTAGCAATTAATAGAAGTGCTACCTACAACATTTTCGCTGTTTAAAGATTAAAAAAATATTTAGTTTGAACAATTAGTACAGACTAGCTTCGTAAGCAATCTCAATAAAACTCTTAATTTTAATATCAAAAAAAGTATTAATTTTTTGAAGTATTTTTTTTTTCTTGATATTCTTTTAAAAAAACTACATATTAATAACAAACAGTATATCTATCATAGACATTTTACCAATCTCTGTGGAACAGGCTGTGCAGGTCGTGGAACTACAGATGTAGTAACTACCGCTGAAGGAGCAGCAGCGGCTGCTACTGTTACTGCTGTTGGATGCGGTGTCATCACTCTTACTTGTGTCGTTGCCGTTGCAGTTGCTGTTACAGGACCGGTTGCTGCCACTGCTACTGCAGGTCTGTATTGAGTCTGCTACAACACATAGTAAAATATAATTGTAAATTAGAAAATAAAATGATAATCTTGGTTATAATTATTTACGTACGTATTGTATGTGTTCTTAAAAATAATAAATTTTCATAAAAATAAATTAATATCTCGGAAAACCCGATTTTAGATTTCTACAAGAATGTGTTTTAATACTTTACGAGAAAAACCTTTTTAGTGAATATTTTTTACGAATAACTCGTGCGTGTGCGGAGTACTTTCTACGTCTCTACTGCCTGAAGCGCGCCTCAATGCTGAATACTGTTTAGACACCGTGATACAGTTCGTCATGATTTCGTCAAATATTTTTATACGAATTGAATGATTCATTGAAGACAGTACAAAGTTTGTTTAGTGTTTTTTCTATTTTTACTAAACAATGCCGAAGGCCAGAATGTCGTTATCATTAAAATAAAGCAAGAGAAGCGTGTATCTATCGCGTGACATTATAATCGAAAATGTCAGTTCTTATCAAATTGTCCATACTCCAAATTCTTTCAAATGAAGTTTTTAACTTTACTCAATACTCTATGTGTTTCTTGTATAAAAATAGAATTCGTAAAAAGTAATTAGTTTTACCTGCGTGATAGTTGGAACAACGGGCGCAGATATGGAGAAAACAACATTGGCTGGAGGAGGCTTTATTCCTTGTATGACTAACTCCCCCGTAACAAGCGATTGTCGCAGAAGCGGCAAGCTTTTTTTCAAGAATCCAATAAGACATGGTTGTGGTGATGCATTTAGTAATTTTTCGAGCCTATCACAAAACTCCTCTGGCTCAACCTTGGTATCAATCAGTTCTTGTATCAAAGTTCGGACTTTAAGCTCTACTACTTTAGGCTCTCGACTAGATAACTCTAATAGGTTTGCTAAAAATTTACGGCACTTTTCTTTGGTATTATCAGTGGTTTGACGCTAAAAGAGAAAAATACGCCATTATTTAAATATGCTGCATAATGTTAAATCATTATTTTATTTTGTAAAATTTAACTTCATATCAAAAGCATACCTGTGCGGATGTTTGAACTGTTTGAACAGTGGTAGCCGTTGGTGCAGAAGTAGTTGTAGGTGCTGTAGTCACTGTTCCTGGAGTTGCAGTAGAAGTAGTGATAGTAGGAGCAACAGTCTGTAGTAGTATATATAAATAATGATTATTACATTAGTAAATAGCAATAAATATCTAAAAATATTTACAATATTTCTCATCAAAATACTATCAAAATGTTAAAGCTATGTTTCAAATCTATAAAATATTAAGAAAGTATTTTTTTATGTCGAAATAAGTAATTAATTAAGTATAAACCTGCATGCAAAAACAATAACAAAAAATGTAAAATCTAATAAATACCCATGATCTTAAAAACAAATTCTGCATTATACAAGATAATTATGTAAATCTTTGCAGCATAAAATATTTTTTTTTATTCTTTTTTTCGATAATATATGATATAATTATATTTCCTGAAATTTTTTTTGTAAAATTAGAAAAATCAAATATGCAAAATTATCTTCAAAGTTTTCATTATTTATTGCATGCAACTAAGAGAATTTTCAAAACTTCTATATTACTACATTCCTGATAAATTACAAACTGCACTTATTTTTCCAACATGCACATATTGAGGTTTAGAAATAAATAATAATCTTATTGAAAAGTTTTAATTCGCTGGTTACTGCAAATATAATCAAAATCAAAATTTTAACACGTTTTACTTGAATTTACTTGAATCAGTAACTTCCATTAATAAGTTAAAGAACTGTTCATGTTAAATTATATAACAATATTAATATTAATATCTATAATGAATTACTATATATGTGGCATTGTCTTAGTCGTTATAATGTATTTTACAGACGCACTTGTACCTTGTACAGACTCGTATTTTATTTCGTATATAGTGTATAGTAGATATTAGTATAAAATATTATTTAAATAACACATGTTAATAAGCGATATTTATTCATTATTTTACTTTAATAATATAGTTTTAATTCAATTCTAATTAATTATATTAGTGCTTTAGAAAATAATTACAATGCCAATTTCTCATCTAAATTGTGCTATGATGCTAATATTACTATTTTTACCAATTCCAAAAAAGATTTATGGAAATTTGAATATATTTGAAGATATTACACATGCGTTTTTATCGTACAATATATCAGCAATAAAAAAATAAAGTTTTAACAAATGTGTATATATTTATACATCTTTTACATACATATAAAAGATATATAAATATCCTCAAATATGATGTATAATTATATACTTTCTTTAAATAATTTGTCTTCCAACTACATAATATCTCCTACAGAACACCTTTAACCAATAGTTCATGCAATATATTTGATAAAGGCATTGAATTTTAATGCATTTATTGCACTCCATAAAACTCAAGACATACTACCAGAGAAATGCATCCCAAAAGTAAGCTAATAAGATGTTATTAAATATGCTATTCAAATTTGTGTAGCATATATGGCATAATCAAAATTGTATTAATTATAAATAATAAAATTGCTAATAAAATTTTCGCATTTTGAATCAATACATATTAAAAAACTGCATGAATGTAATTTTTCTATGTGTATAGATATGTATGTAGTGCTTTTATAGAAATAATAATAATGCATTAAATATTTGCAAACAATCAAATACATGAAAAAAATAATTAATAATAAAAATTTATATATGTTTAAAAATTTGAATGTATCAGATAAAATATAATAAACAGAAGATACATTGGCTTACTGATGACACCATTCCATAGAAAATAAAGTCGCAAACTAATAAATCTCTACAATACCACTACATCGAGTCTTGTAAGAGGTATAAGAATGCGTCACCTGAACAGATTTTCTTAGGGTGGCGAGTGGTGGACCAGTGAACTGAGTATTCAGCCTACTTACAGCCGGAACTGAAGTTAGGCGATAGGTAGTGCCTGGAGATGGTGCAGCAACTACTGCATTTCCAGCTATACTATTCGGTGTAACCGCAGTACCAGTCGCAGTTCCTGCAGTTGGAGCTGGACCCACTCTCAATAACTGATATTGCCCATTTTCTGTTTTCAATAATAGATGACCTTGAGTACCAGGTTGAAGACCTTGAAGTGCCTGTAATGTTATCTGAAAATGGGAAATAATATGAGAAATAAGAAACAAAATTTTATGAGTATTATGTTAATATTATATCATTAGCATATTTTCGATTCTTCCATTATAAATAGAAATAAAATGTTATATTATTCTATAAACATAAATTATTTTATAACTTTAACAATAATTCAAAAACAAAACAACACAAAATATGAAAAACGTTTTCAGTAAATTAAAGATTCAGATTATTTAAAATAAAAAATATAATATGTGATTAGATCGTATAATAAAAATAATATATAAAAATAAATTCTAATACTTCGTATTTATTATACAAATATATACATAATCTAAAAAAAACTATGTATATATAGGTCTTCTCATATATGTTTCAGATAGTAAATAAGTGTCTTACCGCTGGAGTCCCTGATCTTGTCCCAACCAATTGATGTTGACCAATCACCACTCTCGATGTAATTTGCTTATTACCTTGCTGTCCTGTAACTGGTGTAGCAGGACGCATTGTATTTACATTAAGAATTTGAACATTGCTGGGTACTATCGTCGAAGTAACTCCAGCCTTAGCTTGTAATGCCGTACTAACTGCATTGCCAGCCACAGAGACTGGAACCGACATTGGAACAGAAACCATACCACCGGGTGCTACACTAGTCTTGATCACTAAGGCTGCACCTGTCGGCTTGTTCACCGCGGTCACTGTTTGACTGCCTGCCTGACTGACAGGACCGACATTGGAAACAACGTTCGACGTAGTCTGCAGTACCGTCTGTGTAGTTATACCTAAGGCGCCGTTTGCTAACTGACCAACAGTTTGGGTAGGAAAAGTAAGCTTATTATTCGCATTCGCCACCCCTGTAGTGGCTATAACTTGCCCGGGATAGATAAGCTTTACTGGTTCATGAGTCTTGGTCAAGCTTGGTATATGTGTAGTTTGATTACTCGACACCTGGTTGGTGGTCACTTGATTAATATAGGCAGCAGCAGGTATCCCTGATGGTTGTGTATGTTGCTGCTGTTGCTGCTGTGGTTGCTGCTGTTGCGTGGTAATTACCTGTGGCGCCACTGTGTTCGAGGTAACCACGTTCACCGGCAGCAGAGTGCTTGTGGTGATGGACTTTGTGACTTCTTGAGTCATCAGACTATTCACAGTAGTCGCACCGCCGCCGTTCGAAACCCCATGTTTCTGTGGCTGCACCGCGGCGATGGTGCCCCCGTTGGAAATAGCGCTGTTCACTTGATGATTCTGCTGGCTGACCGATGCGGAACTCGCTTGATGTCCAGCCACTGTCGGCGTGGACGTCACAAGCTGCGTCTCGAGGGAGCCCACTATCGCGTTCACTGCAGATTCGTCGACATCCGTGCTCAGAGCTTCCTCCAGAAACTTAGCTGACGCCATTTTCGTCCAAGCTTCAACTGTAAACTGATATGCGCATGCGCCTGTCGTAAATTGTTCCCATGGTGCATTGCCCCCCCTAGCGCAGCAGAAAATTGTACGCGGCGAATCCTCTGTTTACCATCGAGCGGTACGCCCGCCAATCGCACTTTTCCGACATTCTAAGACGCCAAGCTGGCTTCACGTATCGCTGACGATCACGTATTCGCGGTCGTGCACTTCTCATAACGATCAGTCGCGCGAATCCGCCGTTTACGCCGCGAATCGCGTTATGGCTGTCGACAGCGTGCATACAACACGTCACCCGCCAAAATGGCTATCTTCGAAACATGCAATCAACGCGACGGCCGTTCGGTTAACACTTGCTTCGCAACAATCAGACTCACGCAATATCGTACGGAAAAGATAAAACCTTGTTCACTCAAACATGTGTTCTATACGGAACTGCATTTAAGCGCACTTATTTACTTAAAAGAAAGTGTATTCCGAAACTGATCCGCGTTTACGCTTGTCCGGTGCGTTGCGAAATCTGAGATAATCAGTAGTTATTACGGCTCCTGCACACGAGACGCGACGTTACAGGATCTTGTAGAACTAACAGGCGACGACGATCCTACCATCAGCCAATCTCGAGCGACAAAAAGATATTACTAGCATAGCGTAGCCAATCAGATTTGTTCTTCTTTTTAGATTTCTTCTGTTCTCTTATGAAGTTCATACTGCATTCATGTATATACCTTCACCTTCTTTTTCGTTCCAATACTGAAATTCCTCGCCTAGTAACCCCTTCTTGTTATTTCTTACTCCATGCATCTGATATTTGTTAAGTAGATTTACTTTCTAGAATCTGTACGCGGGGGCGGGAGGCGAAAATGTGTACAGCGTGCACTAACTTGTTCACGGCAACTTTTTCATTAGATGCTGCTTATGCACGTGTACTACAATTCAATGTAAATTCTTCATTATTTTCAGGTATTTCTTGTGCGTAGTAATATAATATATACAATTCTAATAAATATGCGAATATTACAACATCCGCTGCACTTTATTGCACCAAAAAACCTGGATCTTATATGAACACAACACGGAATTCTTGAAATATTCGTGTATTTCTTACCTTCGTCCAATGGTCCGCTACTACTGAACTCCCGTCGACAAGTGACTATGAAAATACTAAAAAATGTGGAAAGTATGCTACAGTGATTCATGAGTTTTCCCACCACTCACCGTCCCTACTACAGCTGATCCGTAACTGGAAGTCCTATTCATTAAGATGCAGCACTCTGTAGGACCTTTCTTAAAAAAGATTTTCGAATGTTCTGTAAGGTATTTGAGCATTTTTCTATTTTCACTAAATCGATTGTCATACATATGTGAACTAAATTAAGAGACATATTTAGCAAATTTTTTTATTACAAAATTTATAGCTCATTAAACATACAATGTTATCTTTATAATATATACAGTGTTCAACTTATATTTTTTAATGAGATTATGAGACTATTAATTAGCGCATACTATAAAATATAGTAATTGTCACATCTTTATTCTTTTATGCAGTCAACTGAAATAGATGCTTCAACACATTAGCAATCAATATACTCAATTTTTCATATTTTCTATTTATATCATATTTTATATGCATTTCATTAATTTCTAACTTATTCGTTTATTAATGTTATATTTATCACAAAATTTGACCGATGCAAGACACTTTCACAGTTAGATAACAATATTTTCACAATAAACTATTATCTAAGTTATTTAAATTATCTGATTGAAGCAACTAGACAGCAACGACACATTTTAAAGAAAAAAAAAATCTGGCCTTTTTTTTAAAATTATTTATCCTTTGTTCTTTCATAAAACTTTCACACTATCAAATCTTAAGGATTAGGTGACCAATGAGGCCACGTTTTAATTTCGTTATATAAAGCTTCTCCAGGACTCAAAGTTTTCGAAACTTGTCGGTGGCCTAATAATTTATAATTATGCGCAATTTTACCACCTTTGACGCCGAGCTCTATAATTTTTTGCGCGGCATGTAGTTGTACTTTAGGTGGTAGGACCGTGTTGAATGTACCGATGAAAGAAATGCCGATGCTTTTGTTGTTGAAACCGAAAGAATGGGCACCCACATAATTCCAGCTTCTACCAACGTATGCGAGGCCATCTCCTCCGACGAGAAAATTATAACCGATATCCGACCATTTTTTAGATTCAATGTGGAAAGTCTGAGCAACTCTTACATGAAGTGTGCACTGGGATTGAGTGTTGCAGAAATCGGTGACAGTGTGACTAATAATTACGTAGGGTACCGGCAGTTTTAACTTTGTCAAGGTCTCCGAAGGCGGTTGTGCACCCCATTCATTCCTCTCGACGAAACGTACCGAATCTACTATTACACCTGAAAATTACGAAAAGAACGTATGTACTGCATAAAGCTAGACATGCATATTGCACATTTTTATTTATATATTTCTAACATGAATTAGAAACTTATCAATCTAGCATTAAACGCAATAATCTTAATTTGATGTATAGCAATTTTACAACAAAATTCAAAACATTAGTCTTTGAAAATGTAAAACGTTTTGCAACATTCGAATATAGGATTTATTCTACGATCGCAAACAAAGAACGCTTTTCAGATGATAGATGAATAAATGTAATAAATACAAATCTGGATTGTAGGAGACAGATAAGATTTATCAGTAGAAACAGTCTCGTGTTGCGCCTGCAAAGCTAAAAATTTTCTAGATAGATAATTACCCTCGAGCGAGGAGTCTGGAATTTCCGGGAAAATTGGCGCACGCCGTACCTCTGTGTAACGAGTGAGATATATAGTAGTGATCACTATGGCAGCGAAAAGTGTTAAGGCTAGAGCGCACAACAAAATCGCACATCTCCACGTCCACAGCCATTGCGTCACTAAAATAATTATAAAAGCCATATCAAAATTAGCCTGTGAACTACGTAATAGCATTCAATGAAATTTATGCATGACTATTGCAATCATTACATTGGTAAGTGCGCGCGGTTAACAATATATTATAATATTAGTCTATTTGTATAACATATTTTACCTTTTGCTGAATAAACTTGCTCGATAATTGCTTTTATTGATTATATTTTTTTCAGTTATATTAAACACACATGGGCTTTGAAAAGAGAAAACTAATGCATGGATGCTAAAAACAACAGACCTGAGCAATCTATTAGAGATCGACTATTACCTTTATTTAGTTCCGTATTTTGTGATAAAACGGGTCTGTCTGTCGTTCCGTCATTTTTGTTCGCCGACGAGTCCGAAACGTTGGCGTCGGAGACACAACTTCCTTCATCCTGTATCGAAGTGGGATTCGTGTAAACGAACTGCTTTATGGTGACCGGACCCTTGTAAAAGGTCTTGTTACCCAAATGCACGTTCGTTGAATTCTTTACGCACACATCACCGAAATTCGACGGGTCGGCGTTCGGCAGGACAACGTCACCGTTCGCAGTGGCGACCGCTTGATGTTGCTGGACGATAGTTGACGGAACCGGCAGATTCGTGAGCCAACCACCGCTCACCTCAGCATCCGTCTCTTCCTCATCGTCGTCATCGTCTATGTCACTGCACTGCGTAGAGGAATCTCCAACACTGCCATTGCCGGGAACGACGACCACGGTTTCGCTCGCCAAGCGCCCAACCTCGCCCTGATATTTGTCGACCGTGTGATTCTCCACAGGCAGCACAACACTTACGTGTTCTTGTTCCTTTTGACACTGGTGATCATCGTCGGACGTCTGCTGTTGTTGCACCAATGTCACCATGCCCGAGCACTATGCAGAGAATGCACTCTCTTTGTATCGAATATATTAAAACATACCGCATACAGCAGGGTGAAATGATTAAGAAACATGCAATCTTCGAGTAGATTAATTAAGGTAATAAATTATATATTAAATTTCTATTATTTATTTAAAATATTTTTAGATTTCTCTAGTTTTTCCAAATTCGAATATAAGTCCTGAAACAGTTTAGTTAGTTTTGGACATTCTTGGGAACAATCTTCATATAAAATTTGTAAAAAAAATGGAAAATAACTTGAATCATGCTTAAAGATAACTAATGAATCACGGCCTTAGCATCGTCAAATAAAATCATCGAGGAATGTAACAACTTATTTCCATTCAACGCCACTAAGCGTGTCTGCTCTTTGTTTCACAAAGCAAATAGAGAATTTTGGTCAAGAAAATTATAATATATTAATGAAATAACACAAGATGATTCAGCGATAAAGATCGAACCATTGAAGAGTAACATTTGAGATATAACAATGATAAAAAGTATCGTAAATAAATAAATTAAAGATAAACATATTAAAAGATTAAAAATGGATTAAAATGGATTAAAATAGATTAAAATTGGATAAGCGCCAAGTACTTGATGTAATACTGGCACATCCTATACTATGTTGATTTCTAGTAAAACAAGGTTCCAACGCTTCTACATGCTGCATACCGGACATACATAATATCGCGCTTGTGCATTTTACATACTATACGCTACTTACGTATGTTAACTTGTACGTTAATCATTATGAGTCGATATAAGTCACGTGCATTAATGATGTCCGGCCTGCCTGCATTCAGCGATAAATTTCTTTGTATTACTTCAGAAATGTTTGTATTCTATCAACTATTTGTTACGAGATGTTCTTATGAATACGGACGTACCGGATATATCATTAATCCACTTCATTGTATTCCATTTTTGTATCGAATTCTTGATTATTGTTCCGAAAAGAAACCGTCGCAATTATATTCACATTTGTTTTAGAGTTATTATGTTATACACATAGTTATTATGTGTATTGCTAACATATTTATATTAGCAATACCACTTTTGAACTTCGTTGCTACAGTTTACAGAAAACTATAATTTGTAACGAATTCACTCTGATCGCAATAGTGTTTCAAATAAAAATGTACTCATAACAAACAGGCAAAAAAAATGAAGAAAAAACAAAACGCATGATTTTCCATCAGAGAGATATAAAACATGTACAATGTATAACAAATTAGTTTCTTAGTAAACTAATTATTATCATTAATTATCATGATTGATGCGACGCTCTTACTAACGCGCATTAAATATTTCGCGATTATATTGCGAACTATAAATAAGTGTATTATATTGCGGAGTAAGTTTAATCTAACGGACTGCTTATCTACTTTCTGCGTATTGCGGTAATAATTTCTAATTAATCATGATACGTAGCTTGGACGAAATTATTTTGCATTTTTAATATTGTTAAACAATATTCACTTTATGTCAAATTATACATCGACTGCAGGAACGAAGTTCGTTATAGAAAAAATAAACATCATATTTATTTAATGTGATAATTTTTATTTCATTACAGCGCAATCATCGATAAGACAAAGAATGGAAAAAGAGCGCAATCCAACAACGGGATGCATTCGTGATTATTATCCAAAACCGGCACGACTGGTCGGCAACAATGCGTTATTTGCTAAATTAAAAATTGACTCACACTGGAGATTACCTCGCACAAATCATCATTGGTGCTGGCGGCGGTCACTTTGCCAACACTAATTCCACCATCGATCTATGACGACATTATGCTGTCGTCATGAAGGATGCTTTGCAAACAGGGAAACTTCATTCGAACTGGTCCAGAATTTTCGACGTTGAATCACGTGCTGTTGAAAAACGCACTGTTTCACGAGAACAAAGTACAATCCAAAATACGGACGGACTCTGTATGAGCCACTATATCGGTTATCTTCTTTGATCCTACGACACTGTCAGACAAATACTGGTGTCGACGATGACGCCATGCGGTTGTTGAAGGACGATGCGCCTTGGAGGTGGAATCGTGGAAGCGTTTGTCGACTGACTCTCGCGAAGAAATAAAGCAAAACGAGGAAAATTATACACGAGAATTGGTACAGCGTGCCCTTTAGTACTCTCGTCCAATATTTTCACTAATTCGGGTCATATTTAACATTATAAATTTGCTGATGTCACTGATGTTACCATATCGCGTACGATTGCGTACAATTTACGTCACTATCGCGAATCGTACCATCACGCATATTATATCGAGGCCACCATAAAGTAAACGTAAGAGAGATTATATTTTATAATATAAATATATATTTCGTATGAGATATCCGTTTTTATCGAAAGAAATGATTCCGCGGTTACAAAACGTTTCGACGCTCGTTAGCACTCGCTGATAACCGGACTACCGATGGAATCACAAAAGCAATGGCAGCATTATCTCGATTCAATCTATCCGCGTAACAGACTGCTGTCGCACTGTCGAACGTGCTCGGAAATCATCAGCCCCACTCTGTCTCTTTTCTTTCAACCGCGACTATTAATGATATAGTCACGATTGGCGTGCCTTTACGATAATGCTGCTATTTTACTTATTCTTGGGTTTTTTTATAGAATCGGATGAATAGATTTTGATGGGCGGAAATTTCTACCGGAAATTTCACTAGCGTTAATAAAATATTTTTAGCATTCCATTATATGAAACATGTATAATTTTTTCACCGAAAAAAATGACTTTTTGATGATTGAAGAACGTGTTTTTATTGTTTAATATAATTTTATTGTAGAAAATATATATTGCAATTATGAATTTCCGGTTCCGAAGCTGTATATTTTCAATAATTAAATAAAAGGGAAGAATATCACAAGAAGAAACTTGTTTGGAAACAAATTATTCCGATTATATAAATGTATTTTAAAACCAAATGTTATCTTTTCTGGAAAAGTATTTTGATAAATGTTTCATATTTTTCAAAAGAAATGCAATGATACAACTATATACATATCATTTTGCATATAGTGAGATTGTGAAGTGAAATACATGCATTTAATACGTTCGTGATATTTTGCAGAAAATATTTTATTGAATAATGTAAAAATTGTTGATCTTAAGCGAATTGATCACAACAAGCTAACAATAAATGAAAACATGTGATTAAATACGCGTGATGATTTCACAATAAAAAGTATATACGTATGTGACAAATACAAATACATATAAGATGATAATTCTACAGCCTCAATCAGTATCTTCCTCTGTGCTATCATTCATTAATGATAGGATAGGTTCTATATCATAACCTAATAATTCGTCACACTCTTTCTCAAATACATTGTCATCAAATGTATAAAGTAATATTTTATATTTATATTTTTTATATAATTATAAATTACATATATATAGATTATAGCTAAAGCTGTGATATAGTCAAAAAAGCTTTCTCGTGCAAAAATAAATTGAAAGCATATGTTAAATATTTTTTTCAAAGCAATATCTAAATAGTAAACAATATTGGACATGTCTTATTACGATATTATTATGTTACAATATAGAGCAATAATTATAATTCAATAGAAACATTTTATACCTGACTGGAGACACTACCGCGTCTCCTGATAAAATGTTTCTAATGAAATAATTGCAATTTCACATGTGAATGAAAATGATAAGTAAACGTAGCAAAATGTGATATGACTATTCTTATAAAAAATCACATAGTGTTTAAGGTACAACAAATAAATAATTAAAAAGATTAGAAGTTATTAAGAAATTTAATATCATTGTCATTGTACAATTTACAATTTACTAAATGTACAAAAAATAACATAAAACATGTAATTATGACATTATGTGACATTATATAAAAATTTATGATTATTTTTAGATGCCAATTACCAGTATTATCAACATTGCGGCTTTGTCACAATTTATCTCAAACACAATTTATATTACTTCCACTGGTATACCCTGTTTCATTAAAGCAAGGATTAAAACTTTCTCTTTCAAATACAAATTTATGAGGAGTGAAAAGCATAGTTGTAGCGTGATATCACATACTTAAATTGAAATTGCGAGTTTATTGCAAGTGCTAACGCTAAAAAATGTAATGTAAGTAAGGATTCCTATAACAATTTTTACTAGTTTTTCAAACACATTTTATATTAAATAGCATTAACACATTTATCTAAGTAATAGTCTCAGGCAACTTACTGAAAAAAATAATTTAATGTAATGAAATTGCATTGAAAACTGTAATTTTACAAAAAAAGAAAAAAATTATTAAATTCAATGTTGTTAACGTAAAAGGACATCATTACATAACGTAGTATTAATCTAGCATCTAACTTATATAATTAAAACGTATAACATTATTTTGAATAAAATACAGTTCTACACATGTGTACTATTTTGTATAGGAATTATCACGTTTTATCGAAGGTAACATAGTAAAAGTGAATCTTAGAATGTGTAGCAAGTATATCAGTAGAATGCATATATATGTATATAAATATACATATATGCAGCAGTAATATTACCATTATTTTTTTCATGATTTCTAAATATATTTAATGATTTTAACGTACAGGAATCACATCCTTATCAGGAATCTCCATAAATTTGGAGTAACAAGAAAGAGAAACCTCACTTCATATATTAATATATTATTAATAAATTAATACCTGTTATGTCTGTCTCTCTTTTCAGCATAAAGAATTATTGATAATATTTCTATTACCAATAATAATTCTATTTAACCATAATTATGTATCACTATCAGCAACATCGTAATAATTAAACGACTTGCATGATTTACATCATGACAACTTATATGATTTCTAATGTTACAATAGTAAGTAGGTTGTAGCCTTGTTTTTCTTAAAATTACGCATATAATTTCCTGTCATGATAAAATCACTATACCATATTATATGCAAAATTCTATTAATTTAATGCATCAGGTTTGAATATTAGCCCACTTGGTCCAACAATCTTTCTATGTTGGTAAAATTTTTGCAATCTTCAATATTAGACACTGTCATCTAGAGATAAATAGATTAATGAATAAGAAATAGATATTTGTTTATTTTAAGAATAATTGTTTTGTGCTTTATAACTGCATTTTAATATAAATAAATATAAATTATGTAAATTATAAGTATATTATTTTTTTCTCATAAGCTAAATCGTATAATTTATAAAATGTATCAAACATACTAAAAGTTATTACATATAAAATTGCTTTTCTTACCATGATACCACCATTTTGTCTTTTTTGGATTTTTGTTGCAAGTTTTCACATAGAATGTATTGTCAGGTGGCCTTTTCTACAGAGAGTATTATTGTATTACTTACATATATTTCATAAATTATTGAAGCTATATTATATTAAAATATTTAGTGATAAAAAATCCATACCTTCTCTTTACAACTGCTTAGCATGGAAACAATACTCAAGCAGATACTTTGCACACTTAGAGCAGGAGACCAATCTTCTGTTAATATGGATAAACAAATATGACCATTGCTATAAATATGTGGATGTATTGGGATATTTCCACCGATAAAAGTCACTTCTGGCGAATCAAATGGATATTTGGAACTGAATTTAAATTGAAGCTGAAACTGTTCCCCCTCATACAGCGTGCCTTTGGCACCCTCCATATGAACAATCCATTGTGTTAAATTCTGTCCAGCCAGTTCTCCATCTACGTGTACCCCTGGTGGAGGCTCACGTATTAAAGACATCAATTCCTTCTGAAGTCTCCGCTAGGATATTAAATATTTAATATATTTTAAACAGTTCTACAAGTTAATATATCATACATGTAATGCTTTTTTGTTTCTTAGAAACATACTTTAATGCTTTACATTAACAATTTCTTTAATTTAGAAACTTTTATAAATATTTCTACTTCAATATATGTTAAACAATCTAAATTATATGAAATAAAATAAAATTAATAAAATCAATTTATTCATGAGAGAATAATGAGGCTCTGAAATAAATAATTCTGAAAATTTCTTAAATGTATGCATTATTATCTAAAAACAATCACACTTTGACAACAGTTAAGAGGATGCTGAAGTGACGGGCGAACTCCGACGCGAAAGCGCCATCATTTCGATGGTACTAAAAATGAAATGACATTATCGGCGCAGCCTACGGACCTATGCCGCGTAGGTCCGTGTGTACGCATTTGTTTGTGTGGTGACTCACTACACTGACGTGTGGTCTGTGTACGTGTGTCATCGGAAGTTTGTAAACAAACAATGCTTGCGCTTGTTTCCTCGACTGAAATTTCGTCGCAAGGCTGCAATATAATGTCCGAGAAAACATAAGCGTATACAAGGTGTCAAATAAATACAAACTAAATATGACAAAATAATAAATGAAAAATATACATATAATACTATATATATCATTGAAGAAAAATGTCATATACTTTTCTTACTTTTATCCTTATGTAGTAAATACTAAATAACTAATTAATCAATTAATTATTATATACATATACACATATATACAATAAATAGTTATCTTTATTTTGTATTTTATATGATAATGACTGAAATAATAAAAGTATATATTATTTCAGTTATATAAAATACAAAATAAAGATAACTATATTCAATATGTATATGTATGTATTCAATAATTAATTAACTTATTTATTTATTTTGTATTTATTACATAAGAATAAAAATAGGAAAAGCATATAACATATTTTTCCAATTAGATATATAGTATTATACATACATTTTTCAAATAAAATATTTTATCATATCTAACTTATATCTATTAGACACCTTGTATAAGTCTATTTTGTCTCGTATGTACATCATTCAGCCATACGATAGAATTTCAATTGCGAGAAAAAAGGTTAAATGATCTTATAAATTATCTGATAAAATATAAACAGACCACACGTGCAGTAAATTGCTAACTAAAATAAATACGTATTTCTTCAAATCTGTCAGCTGACGTTAGATCGCCTATGACAATGGGCTTGTTCGTTTTAGCTACACTGGGGCTGCTCTGGGTCTGCTCTACACAAGACAATACAGGACAGATAAATAGTTTGTCCTGTATTATCTTGTTTAGAGTAGACCCAGAGCTGCCCCAGTGCAGCTAAAACGAACAAACCCAATATTTCTTAAAATCTGCCAGTTCACGAATAAATCGTCTTTAGCTCTCTTTTTTCTAAACTGTCAGCTGACGTTAGATCGCCTGTGACAATATTTATTTAAAATTGTCAGCTCACGATAGATCGCCTCTGACAATATTTCTTACAATTTGCCAGTTCACGAATAAATCGCCTTTAGCTCTCTTTCTTCTAAACTGTCAGCTGACGTTAGATCGCCTCTGACAATATTTATTTAAAATTGTCAGCTCACGAAAGATCGCCTCTAGCTTGTCTTATTCTATATTGCCAGTCCACGA